ATGATGATAATGGTGTTGATAATGCTGATGATGGTGATAACAATCTTCACACCATAACTCAATTGCGAAGGAAAAGAGGCATCTGAGACTGCCATGCATGTGAAAAATCACCTCCTTGCTAAAAGAACAAGCACATATGTAGAAGGTCACGCACATACATACAAAGATACACACGCACATACATACATACACACGCACATATATACATACATACACGCACATTCATACAATCGTATTATACATGAATATTCTATCTTAAATACGAATGCCTACACGTTTCAACATCATCAATGCAATTTACAATGAAGAGCCTGAGTTACGATCGATCGTCGATAATAATATACACACACATGCATGCGGGCACACATACACATACATGCACGCACACGTACATGTATATATATACACAACACACACACACACACATTCATACACATACACACACATACATATATGAAAAGTCAACATAATTACTTAAATGTGTGCAATGTAAAAAAAAAACATATACAGAAAACAAACACGCACGCATACACACCTACATACACATACAAAAAATCACACCTACATACACGTACAAAATTCACACATACATACATTCATACATACGCACACATACACACAAACGCACATGCATACACTCAATAAAGAGCTTCATAAAATCGTTCTTCCTTAAAGATGGAAACTCAATTTTTATATGGAGGACATTTGGGTATTTGGCGCCAAACTTAAAAAAAAACTAGAAAAGATATCACAACAAAGAACTAAATATCACACCAAAGAACTGAATATCACACCAAAGAACTAAATATCACACCAAAGAACTAAATATCACACCAAAGAACAAACCTTTTTTCTCATACAATTTTTTAAAAATAGATCAAAAAACAAAAATCTTTTATCAAAATGACAAAACTGTCAACATTGATATTGACTTAAACAACAACTAAAACTCTTACTACTGCTACCAAAAAATTACTACTACTACTACTATACTACCACTAATACTACTACTACTACTATTAATACTACCATTATTATTATTATTACTATTACTACTATTACTATTACTACTACTACTAACCAACTACTATTACTAGTACTATTATTGTTACTGCTTCTACTACTACAACAACTACTAATACTACTCCAACTGATAATAATAACAATAATATATACAATAATGTTAATGTTAATGTTAATGTTAATGATTAGTAAAATAATAATAATAATATTAACCTTTGGAACAGTTTCTTACTGCACCAATCCACATGTTGTCAATGCATTTGAAATAGAAAAACTCACCTTCTATAGATTTATTATTTATGTTTTTGTAGTAAATATTATTATTGTCATTGTTATTATTATTGTCAATATTTTTATTATTATTATTATTATTATTATTATTATTTAAATTTTCAAAGGCAGTTTCGTACGTGCGAAAACTTTTCATGTTTTTCAGCATTCTATTTTTCAAAATTTTGAGTGCGTTATTGTTGTTGTTATTGTTGTTATTATTATTATTAATAATATTATTATTGTTGTTGTTGTTGTTGTTGTTGTTGTTGTGGCAGTAACCTATTGTTGTGACGTCATCGAGCCTCTGTAGAATGACGTCAGCGTTTACATCTTCCTGTTTCAAGTTGGAGCAACCGAATACTGCGGGAAAATAATTAAAATGAATAAATTTTTTATAGTCTTGGTTGTTGATGTTATTGATGTTGTTGCTGCTGCTGTTGTTGATGATGATGTTGTGGTTGTTGTTGCTGTTGTTGTTGTTAATGTTGTTGTTAAAGTTGTTGTTGATGTTTTTGTGATATTGTTGACGATTTTCATTTTAATGTACTTACAAGACTGACTGCTAGTACTGTTACTGCTGCTACTGTACTACTACTACCACTACTACTACTACTACCACAACAACAACTACTACCACTACTACTACTACTACCACAACAACTACTACTACTACTACCACAACTACGACGACGGCATTGCTTGGAAAATAAATTCAACGTATAAAAGCTTAATACATGAAGCAAGCTGTGCGTCTGGGACACTGCTGTGTTGTTGTTGCTTCTGTTTTTTTTTTATTAATTTTTGTTTTTTTTGTTGGTTTGTTTGTCTGTTTGTATTGTCTGTTTGTTTGTAGTGTTCGTTTAATCGCATTGTATTGTTTTGTACGTATGCAAGCATCTATATATTTTATTATTTTTGTATTTATGTTAATAACTTATATAAATTTATTATTAGTATTTTTATTTTATTTTTTCGTTCCGGGTGATAAGAATGTACCGACAGACGTGTGTGTGTTGGTTGCAGTTTTGCTAATCTTCGTTTAGCAGAATAAAGTTTAATTTATTCGTTTATTCATCTGTCAATCCATCAGTTTCTTTGTTTATTTGTTTGTTTATCTGTTTATCTGTTTGTTTGTTTTTTATTATTATTATTCTCTATTGATTTAAATATTGACCAATTAATCTCTAGCTTATAAATCAATCTGAATACAATGCCGACTACAAATAACGGTTGCTGTAGCTGCTGAAGTAGCCGGATTAGCAGCTGAATTAGCGGCGGAAGTACCTCGAAGAATCTTTTTAACCTCTGCTTTGCGGGACCGGAAGTACGTGAGCGATTATGACGTCAGAGCGAAATGGCGGCTCAATTATCAGGACGGTCGTTATGGATGATTTTCTGGTTTATAGTCTGCAATAGACTGAGTGTTGTGAGCATTCTTTGTTATTGTTTGATGTTTTGTTGATGGTTATCGGCGCCTTGTATCTTTTCTTTGTGTTTGTTTTGTTGTTGTTGTTTTTATTCGTATGTTTGTTTTGTATGTTTATAAGGTTGTAGTTGTTATCTTCATCTTTAAGATGTTTGTTTACGTTGTTGTTTTTGTTGTTTTGTCGATGTATGTTTGTTGTCGTTTAAGTTTCAGTTGTATGTTTATGTGTTTTTTTTTGTATGTTTATGTGTTTTTGTATGTTTATGTTTTGCCGGTCATGTTTTTCCTCTTTTTTTTCAAAAATTCATTCATAATGATAATAACTAATTCATGTGAGAAGCATATTGATGGTCAGACAAGACACTATAACAACGGCAATATATCAACACCTTATATTAGCATCGTCATAAACATCATCTGTTTTATATTCATTAATTTTAAATAAACACACACACACCACACACACAAACACACACACACATACACGCACACACCTATTTAAATGTAAATACTACCTATATAATAACACCTAAACAAGTTT